CCTGTTAATGGTAATATTGCTAATAATCCTGCTAATAATAGAGAATATAGCTAATAATCCTGCTAGTAACAGTAATACATAGCTGATAGTGGTGACTGTTTATAATCTTTTCTGGATTTATCCATCCTCACAGAGAGTTTTGGGTGTCTAAGTGTCTACAGAGCAGGAGCCTCTCGGGTAGGGTTTGTTCTTGGCATGGGAAGCACTGTCTGAGCATGACGCAGTAAAACCAATGGTTAGCTGAAAGGACAAATTTACTTTTTTAAGGGGAAAAATATCAGGGCCGGGCTCTTTATCCTGGTATCCCTGATGCCCTGGTTGCACTGTGTCCTATCCCAGCTTCATCCACATTTGTGGGCATCCCACCCTCTGCCCCCTACCCACAGGAGGGGATTAAAAGCCCTTTGTGACCCATAAATGCCCCTTTCCACATGTACTACTCGAAGGAAGAGGCGTTTTGTTTCTGATGTCACTTAAGAAGGTGAGAAGATGGCTCATAGTAAGTCCTGAGGTGTTTTCCTACCTGCAGAGAGTCTGGGTGGGCACAGACTGTGGGGTCTTGGCCAGGTGTCACAACAGCTCCCTGGAAGTGTCCAAGGCCAGGCTGAACAGGGCTTTGAGCAACCTGGTCTAGATGAAGGTGTCCTTGCTCATAGCAGCGGGGTTGGAACAAGATGATCTTGAAGGTCCCTTTCAACCCAAACCAGTCTGTGATTTCATGATATAGATGGGGTACAGGGCACTCCCCTGCATATGGGATGACCAATGGGGTGACAGGTAGAGGGGGTGGCTCACCTGGGCCACTGACCATGATAGGACAATGGGTGATGGTTTTAAACAGAAAGAGGGGAGATTTAGATTAGATATAATGAACAAGTTCTTCACCACGAGGGTGATGAAACACTGGCCCAGGCTGTCCAGGGCAGTGGTGGAGTCCCCATTCCTGGAGGGGTTTCCAAGTCGTGGAGATGTGGTGCTGAGGGACACAGGTCAGTGGGGACCTGGCAGTGCTGGGGGATGGTTGGACTCCATGACCTGAAAGGTCTCTTCCAACCAGATCCATTCTATGAATTTTACTTAGCGTGATCCAAATCCCATGGAGAACAGCAGGAAGGCAGTGGATCCTCCTGCATTCTGTGGGATCAGGATCAAAACCTCCGTGGTTTCAGTGAGGACAGGGATTTATTCAGAAAACAAGGCAAACTTGTCAGGATGGGTTCAGAAGGAGAGGCCCTGGACTCTTCTCTCAGCTTGGACATCCCTGAGCTGAGCGTTTGCTGCTTTTTGAGCCCACAGCTGATCCTCCAGTGCAAACCTTGTGTGGAAAGCCGACTCCACCTGCTCTTTATTGATGAGGATGAAAGCAGAAACTGGATGAAAAGCCTGATCCTGTTCGATCCTTGCTCAATGTCCATCAGCACCATGTCTGTCTAGTCTTATATCTGAGGGGAGAACATGTGTGTGAGCTTCTTCCTGCTCCAAATGGGATGGTTAAACCAAGCAATGAGGTGCTGTCACAAGTGGAAGACAAAATGATTCACGCAGGTTTCAGCTGCAAAGCCCTGAACAGGTCCAGCACTGCCCACAGTTCCTGCTGGTGAAAGGAGACTGGAGTCCTCCTGCAGCACAGCTTTGCTGGTGGTCAAACCAGTCTGTGACTCTGTAATTTTGTCCTAAATCATGATGGACCATTGCCGTGGCCTGTGTGGCCCTTTCCCTGCAAAGGGGCCCATGTCTGGTAGGTGAAATGCCTGCACAGATGGGACGGGATAAAGCTCGTGAGCTCAGGATAACCAGAGGCCCCCTCTCAGAGCACCACACCCTGTCCATCGCCTTCTGCTCCCCCGCTGGTGGGGACCCCCACCCTGCCCCAGCCAATGGCCCTGCAGCGCAGGACGGGGAGGGGCTGACGGCAGTGGATAAAAGGCTCCGTGGGGGCTGCAGCTCAGCTACAGGGTCTGAGTCCTCCCGCAGCTCTGAGCAAAGCCGCCTGCCACCATGGTGCACTGGACAGCCGAAGAGAATCAGCTCATCACCAGCATCTGGGGCAAGGTCAATGTGGAGGAATGTGGTGCCGAGGCCCTGGCCAGGTAGGTCCAGCTCATGGGCACCTGCCCAGCTGCACCCGGGGCAGAGAAATGGTGGCAATGGCATCTGGGAGCATTAATGTGTCTGTGTCTGCTCGTGTCCATCTCTCCCCAGGCTGCTGATCGTCTACCCCTGGACCCAGAGGTTCTTCGCTAACTTTGGGAACCTCTCCAGCCCCACGGCCATCATTGGCAACCCCAAGGTCCGTGCCCATGGCAAGAAAGTGCTCACCTCCTTTGGGGATGCCATCAAGAACCTGGACAACATTAAGGCAACCTACGCCAAGCTGTCCGAGCTGCACTGCGACAAGCTGCACGTGGACCCCGAGAACTTCAGGGTGAGCTGTTTTGCAGCCCCAGCCCCCTTCCCTATGTCACAGGGGGAAAGGCAGATTTGGGTTTGAAACTGGGGGTATTGCCTCCAAAAATGCTTTTTAGGGGCAGTTTCTTTGGCTGGTGGAGGCAGAGTCCTTGTGTAGGAACTCAGTGAGATGATGCTGTTGTACCTTGTTCTTGGCTCTCTGCAAGAGCATGGGGGATTTTCATGCTAAAAACCATCCCATTTTTAGTAGCAGCACCACAATGCGGAGAAGGCTTGTGGAGATTGTCACATGAAGGAGATCTGGAGAATAGAAGCCCAGATGAAGGTGCAGCATGGGCTGGAGGAGGTGGAGGGAAGTGAAGCATTTAAGTCATAGGCCCTATAGCAAGATAAGCTTCTCAAAATCCACAGAGCAGGTCTCTGCCTTGTCTGAAAGAGACAATCCCTCCCCCTCCAATGTTTTTAAATAAAAATGGATCATTTTTTTTCATTCACATATATGGAGAAGAAAAATCCCAACGTTTTGCAGGGTGGATCTCAGGCTGCATTACTTCAGCGTTCCAAAAATGAAGGGAAAGTGTTTCAAGCTTATTTATGCATTTATTTATTTATTTATTAAAGAATGAAGCAAATATTGTTTTCCCAACCCCTCAGAGCTTTCTATGGAAAGACTGGGGATTTTGTCACTGTTGTTCCAGGAAGCAGGGAGTGAGCCAGTTCCCAGCCCTGCAGCCCGAGGGCTGCTCCGATGGGGCAGGAGGGGATGAGGAGGAAGAGGAGGATGAGGATGTGAAGCATGTGAGAGTCCTTTCAGGAGGGGAATTCAGCCTCAAGGAGAAGGCAGAAGAAAGAAAATGCAGCCTGTGGGCTGTAGGGTGGTGTCTGGGGAGAGGACCCGGGATGGAGAGCGACTGGAGGGAAGCCAGCTGCAGGAAAGCAGGGAGATGGAGAGTTTGCATAGCAGAAGCTCTTCAGAGCTAACGACATGTCAGGCCAGGGCTGGTGGAGTTGTGTGCAGCAAGAGTGCAGAGTTCTCCTCAAGAGGTCGTGGATCCAACAGATCGGCCCCATCTCGGGGACTTCCAGCCCCTGCTCCATGGTCTGCTGTGGCAGAAGGGTGCAAGCAGCACTAACCCTGTTTTCCGCTTTCCCCTCCAGCTCCTTGGAGACATCCTGATCATTGTCCTGGCTTCCCACTTCACCAAGGATTTCACCCCTGACTGCCAGTTTGCCTGGCAGAAGCTGGTCAATGTGGTGGCTCATGCTTTGGCCCGCAAGTACCACTGAGCACTCCAGCACCAGCGATGCGAGGAGGGGTCCCAGCTCCAGCACAAGCACCTCTGAGCACACCAAGATGCCCTTTGGGTCTTGACAGGTTGTAACCACTGAATAAATGCACCCCAACACGAGCCCTGCGGAGTGTCCCTGTCTCTGTGCTGGGTAGAGGGGGGGTTGAACTCAATGTCACTGCCTGTGAGTTTATCTCTGGTTTCCCAGGGCTGCTACAGTCCCATAACTCTGCAGTGCTCTCTGATGTGCACTCACTGCCAGTGCAGAAAAAAGAGAAAGCCCCACAAAGGGCCTTAGCACCTGTGAGTGCTTCCAAGAGGGCCAGAAGAATGAGGAATGGAGGAGAATACACACTGGCAGTAGAGATGTAGGTTCAGCCAACTTGAGGCCGTTTCCTCTTGTCCTGTCCCTTGTTCCTTGGGAGAAGAGCCCGACCCCCACCTGGCTCCAGCCTCCTGTCAGGGAGCTGTGGAGAGCCAGAAGGTCTCCCCTCAGCCTCC